ACACCATACCATCCCAATGACACCATACCAAACCATACCTACACCAATGACACCTCGCAGGACACAAATGCCTTTGTGGACCTCATCAAGTCGCAGATCAAAGACGCTGACAATGATGTGAAGGACGGTCGGAAGCGAGTCTCGGCTGCCAAGGCCCCTGCTTCCAAGAAGAAGGGTAAAGCCCAGGCTGAGGCTGTTTCTTCAGCCGAGGAGTCAGATTGATGGGGAAATTGGGGTGGCTGAAAATAGAAACAACTATACCCTCTGGTGACATAGCCTAAGACAGCCAAACCAAGGCTAGCTGTAGCACGTGCACCCTTCAATTGCTGGTAGTTTGGTACATGTTGGTACCCATGGTCTCCTTCTCGTCAATCTCAATTTGTGATAGCTGGCCTGCTCAGTCCCCATTGAACTGGTTGACCAAAGTGTCAGTTGATCCCTTGACCAAAAAATGGTCATGCCAATGAAGGGCGTCACAGCCTGCCTTCAACCAGTGTTGACTGGTCAAGCTCCGGGCCTTCAGGATGCCAGGAAAATCCTCCATCTGACTTGAAGCGCCAAGGCCATGTCAGACTCCTGATTTTTTGGCCAGCGTTTTCCAAGGTGGTGGATTGTGTAATTCAGGCCATGCAGGCAGCCCATGAACAACAACCAACTCAAATACCACACCCGTTCACAACAAGGACTGGGCTTCCGTGCGGTCTTTATAGATCTTCGTTCTTTAGAGCACCTGCCATGTGGCTGAAAGTTGTTCAGCAACGCTTGCCACAGGTTGAGTGTGGAGGAAAACGCATGATCTGAACAATACACGTATGGTGAACTCTTTGCTCAACAAACCATGTTAAAAAATGCATGCACGATTGATGCACAATGGGATATGGTCAATTGTTGTGCTTTGTATGCAGTGCATTTCTCAGTGACTGTAAGGATTTCCAGTTTCATACACAACTGGTATAGTTCAAACATGTTCAAATATAAGTTTCCAGTGCTCAGCGTTGGCAGCATCCTGGTATGTGTCTAACACACACACATGCACACACATATGAATACCCACAACTTGTACATAGCATTGGCAGTGTAAAACTAAACACATCACATACCCAACACCTACCTGATGAAGGTGATGTTCCAGTCACTATACGCTTAATTAACTAGCTGCCTCAGTGGTGGCATGGGGTCCAATGGAACTCGTGGAGGAGTTCCTTGAGATTACGCGAAGTGCCACTTGGCCTGGTGGTGTGGGATTTAGACACAGGTGACGTCGCCATGGTGTGTGTGCTGACACTGTGCAGGTAAGCGTAGAAACACTTCTGAAATTATTCAAGACTCTTCGGCAGAGAATACCTGGGAAGTATTTGCCGCTTCTTGGTATTGAATATGCTTCCTTAACCATTGCATATGTTCTTTCAGGTGTAGTCATGGCCTTTATGTTCAGGAGAAACCTTCGTGATTTGATAGCCTTGGACGATGAGCGGGAGCTGAAGTCCACACATTTTTGGCGGTGGCTGCATAAACAGAAATGGAGAAAAAATGCTTCCACGACCTATTTCGATACTTGGCTAATGTTGTGTGATGCCTGGTAGTTCAGCTCCTATGTATACCATGGGCCTATCACTCTGAGGATTGAAGTGGTTGTGTTTGATCCTGGGCGCAATGACCCCTACTTCTTGGACAAGTGGGAGATGTTTCTGCCGAGTGACATGTTCCGTGGACTGGTTTCTTTGTGTTGTGTGATTGCACGTTGATATCCATGTGGCATTCCTTCAGGTTTCGATCCCTGTATGAGTACAATGAAGACTTGTTCAAGCAGCGACTACTTGGACCACCTGGTGTTTCCCGACAAACATATCACATAACATGTCAGTTAGGCATGCCACATATTGATCTTAATGTTCTATGGCACTGAGGCTTTAGAGCGCTTCTGGGAAAAGATGCGGGGCACAAAGTTTTTCAAGGAACATCCTATCCTAGCGTCGCTTCCAGAGACTCTGTTGTGTAAATGTGTGTTGTACAATGTTGTACAATTGAACATGCAGCGGCCTAGTGGTTGGTAAGAGACAACCAAAAATCTGAGGATTCGGAACTCCAATGGTGTATACCACTTTGCATCCATGGTGATGATGCTGAAGCACATCGCCGAAGATCCTTTATGATTGCAACAATATCCAGCATGTTGACGGATGGGTCCCCTTTTGATTGCAAGCTGTTGGTCTACTGTTTGGACAACGCAAGGACCATTCATGAAACAATGGATCAACTTGACAGTTACTTTGCGTGGTCTCTTTTGGAGCTCTCCCTTGGCCAATTCCTGGATGTAGATCCCTGGGGGCGGCCAATTCAACACCATGACCCTGGACGACAAGGGGCCATATGTGGAAAATACCGAGGAATTGTTTGCGTGCACAAAGGCGATGAAAAATACATTCAGAAAGTGTATCGGACGACGAGCTCTTGGAATTCCAAGCTGGTGTGTTTTAGATGCCAGGCTGAGTCGCAGGGTCCTAACTGTTACACACTGTATGGACCCCATGCTGGACATCGATCCACAATGGTGGATACATCGGCCTTCATACAACAGAACTGCCACATGAACCCATGGATCCGAATGCCTGGGTGGTCAGTGGACTTGCTGGCCAATGATTGGCTACATGTTGTAGATCTGACAGTAGCGCCTGAGTGCTGTGCTTCTGTCACCTGACCAATTTTTGGATCGTTGATGATAATTTCTTTGCTTTGCTCACGCTTTGCCTCCATGCCCAGTGGTTTGCTTTGCTCACCATTTTTTTTGATTGCCCAGTGGCAAATCCCAGGCTCTTGTTGAGATCACCCGGTCTGATCTGGTATGGACTGGAGACAACGTGGATCAACGGCTGCAAAAGGCCTATAGTGATTTCACCAAGATCTGCAAAGCCAACAAAGTTGTCAATCGCGGACTGATCTTCAGCGAGAGCCTTGTCCAGAATGGGAGTGCTGATCACTTGTAGTGTTGCATGTTCTTCTGGGATTTGGCACTCCAGCTCCAGGAAACATCTGTACCCTGGAGGAGTCCGTAGATGTTACCCCACACTTGCACAAAAGCATTTTAACGCAGCAGCCACTCGGTAGAACAAAGTTGCACAGCTGTTTCTGTTCCGCTATGGTGTGCTCCAAGTTTGAATTCCCGGTTTCCTGCCGAGGAGGGTGTGATCCTATGCAGGTTCATGAAGGGAGTTTGCCTTTCAATTGCTCAGGCCTACCCGAATGATGACCACGCAGGGTTACTTGGGCAACGTGTTGTGATTCATTGCATGCTGTAGGATTTCTTGTTCCAACTTGAGCTGGATTTGAACTTGAACCTGACACCCAGGATTCGTGCTGCTCTATTTGTCAACCTTGTTGCAATGAGGGCGGCTTTGCAGAAATCTTCGAACCCATGGGGCCATTTGTCAGATGCGAATCTGGCAAAGCTCCAATCCTCCTGCTATTTGTTCAAATCTTGCCATTGCTGTGTCTCGGTGTGCACTACTGTTTGTGATTAATTCAGGTGTGCACCATACACGCACATATAGCATGTTCCTGCTTACCCTAAGATCTTTCAGCAGAAGCAGTTCAATCTGAACATCTTTTGTGGAAAGTACGCCCAAAGCTACACAAGAACCCTGTTTGCAAACGGTTTCTGTCTCTGTGCATTGCTGGATGAGAGTGTCAACACTTGTCCTAAACCAAGCTGATCCCAGGATCGACCATCTTGTATATGATTGCGCGCCTTTGTGGAACCCTCTGGTCCAATCCACGTACCAGGATGAGGACTATGTTGGAAAAATTAAAAAGCTTGCAATGCTATCGAGCCCACAAAGGATGGGTCAACAGGTGCTGGAACGTTACAGCGCCTATGTTTGTGTGCGCTGGCTCAGACAGTTGAAGGAGTGATATATGTTCGCCTAAAGTGTCAAACATGTGCCATGCATGTTGAAACTGGCCAGCTCCACCTTAAGTTGCCTCTTCGAAGAGATGGCAGCTTCCAGGACTCTGTGTTTGGTGCCACCGCGAGGAAACAGAGTGGATGGGTGGGGAAGGGTCACTAGAGTTTGAGACTTGTTGTTTTTTCAGAGTCTTGTTGGAAGGTGTTCAAAGGGGTCTCCATAAACCACTCACTTAGAAGACCATTTGGACCAAAACTCAAACACCACTCCTTTGTAACCTCTGGTATATATATATACATAGTTTAAACTTGTCACGAGTTTGAACTATTCGCTATGACCAAGTAAAGGCGGTTGTGTTACTCGGATGATTTGATCTTTACCCAGGACGGATACAATCCAAATCGAGGGAGTCGTTCTGCATGACAGTCAGAGGCCCTAGGCTAGCTGTTCCAGGTCCTAGGCTTGTCAATCAAATTCAGTCGAACTTTGTCAAATTTCAGCCAGGCGTGACTCACAGACAGCAGTTGGAGAAACGCAAGGAAATCATGTCGTGCTTCCCCAGTTTGATACCAAAGGTGTGAATTTGGATTTGGACTCGACATGTTTTTTTTAATTCATCCCTTTTACCACACGAACAAGGTAGGCATATGATACATGGAGTGTTTGCGCACGAACCATTGAAGTCTTAAAAAAAGGCATAGTTCTACATATAGAAGAACATTCATTGGTTGACTAAGTGTTGCGTAGGGTAGTTGTGCGCAAGACAGGATGGCCGTCCCAATTCAATTTTGTCCCTGTGACGTATTGTGACGTTAGAATGTTCTGGGGAGTGCTCCCCGCTAGTAAACCAAAAAGGATCCAAAAGGGGAAATCATGCTGGATGAATCCGTTGATGCATTTGTTTGAGGCGTGAAAATGGGTGAATCATCATGCATCATCTCCAAAAGTCTATATAAAGATGCATTAAACAAGTTGAAGCCTACATCACTGCTGTTACATTGCCGGTGTTTTTCTCGCTGCTTGTTCGGGATGTCGTTTTTCCACGTAGGGATCCCACTCACGCACCCTCCGCGCCAGCCGCGCCTCCAGCGCTTCCAGGTGCTTCAGGAGGTGTCCTCTCGGACCGCGGATCCGTGCCGCGGCGGATCAGGGGTGAGGACCGCGAGGGCTGATGGCCATTCCAGAATCATCTCACCAGGCATGCAGAAAATCTGGGAACCTCCGGAAACCCATGTATTTAAATAGGGGAACCTCCGGGAACCTTCCCAAAAACAAGGAACATAGACGCAAACCCATTGGACCAGGCGGTCTCCCGATTTTAAGACACATCCACTAGTACTATTTGCAGAAGTCACGTTTTTTTTCAGGGTTGGTCAGATGTTGATCTGTTCTCATGAATTCGCGGTCATCATCGACCGTTCGTGGTGTGTTGGGACGAGAAACACCTTTGGACCTCAGGGCCCAGGGCTCGAAGAATGGGACCTCCTAAGGCATACTGGAGAGGAAGTATGAGCAACCCGGTTTTGCAGTAGAGGTGTTCCAGCTTCTGTATAGCCTGGCGGTGGAGGACGAATGTCGAAATGTTCACACAATGTTCCAAAGCTACGAATTCCATCCATGATGGGTGTGACTCGAAACCCACCAAAACCACCGGGCTCAGTCGAAATCTGGATGTCCAGCTGCTTTCATCTTCTGACTCCACCAGGGACACCCGGAGGGGAACCGGAACGGACGAAGCGTAGCAGGGCCCTTTGCGGTCGGGGTTCGGGACCAACTGTACCGAGAATGGGTTCAGTGAAAAGCTACGGAACAAGGCGGAGGCGTTAGCAGAACATCCTCCATATTGCCTTCACTCATCGTCAGTCAGCCATCGTCCTTATTCTGTCCTTTCATCATCCTCAGGTTGATCCGTCCTTCGGTCCTCATCCTCGTCATCCCTCAACATGTTCATCCCATTTCATCCTAGTCCTCAGCAGACTCAGCAGCAATGCTGTTTATCCACATACAGCAAGTAGTCTTTGGTTCACGTCCTGCCTCATCTCATCCAAGGCCTTGGAGCTTAGTCAGAAGCTGCAGCGGATGAGGCGCGTGCACGCGCGCGCGCAACCAGTGGGTAATGTTGTTTGATGTAGCCATATTTTGTAGCCTGAATGCTTCAGCGCTTCATGTCCTATTTATAGTTTTTGAAGCTGCATGCATGGCTCACTGAGTAGTAGCAAAAAATCCTGAAGTTGTATGTAGATATGTATGGCGGTGGGGCGATTGGCAAGGTCGGAGCAGACTGCTCAACTCCATGGCCAAGTTTTCAAGTGCCCGCAGAAAAGCTGCGCGCAGCCCCCCCAACAAAAATAAAGAAAGCAGACTGCTCAATCGACGGTTGGACTGGATCACTTTTACGACGAGTCGGGTGAAGCGGATGGGTCGCTCCAGGTTTGGCGACTGTTCTAGGCGACCGACCGTTCAAAAGGACTTGGTGTCAATCGGTATGATTTGTGCAGACGTTTGCCAAAGACGCCTCATGAAGTTGGTTGGATGAAGTTGCAATTGCCAAGATGGATTGAATATGTTTAAACTGATTGAGCTATCTCGGACCTGGACAATGGATCCTCAGTCGACTGTTTTGAGCACCAACATGTCTCCCTTGTTGATGACCAGTCAGGTATATAATCCAATCAGATCTCTTGTTGAGAACATGTCTCCATGTCATAGTTGAGGTATATCTTATACCAGATCTCAACATGGTGGTAATACATTAAACATCATTTTAATACATGGATATAGTAATTCTAGTATTTTGTGAATACATGATATACATGGTATCTAATCCAATTTTCATCAACCAGATGTCTCATAGTCCAACCATGGGATTCACGCCGCCCATCGATCCAGGAACAAGCCTGGTGCCAAGGTTCGGATCGACGACAACGACTGGGGTCACGAGTGAGCACCGCAAGAAACCTCCCAAGATGAACTAAGTAAAGGCCTTGTCATATGGAACTTGGGCGTAAGCAAAAACCTGAAGAGCGTAAGGTTGCGTAAGGGAGTTGTGAGACATGCATGTTGCGTAAGTTTGCCATATTATGGTTGTGTTTTCATTAGTAGATTCTTAGCACACACTTGTCAAGAAAGGAACTGTATGGACCATGAGAGCTTTGAAACCCTTGGGAACTGACATTTGTGTGCACTGTGTTTCAGGTGTGTGCACTGTGCTTGTTTGTGATTGCCACTCTGTATCAAACCTTTCTTAAGTCAGCCCCGTCATAACATGTCATAACATGCCAGGCTCCGTTTGGTGAGGGTTTGGTGGCGTAAGGTTCGCGTAAGCTCCGCGTAAGGTTCGCGTAAGCCAACTTTTCATTTGCCTACAGCAGCCAGTAAGTAGATGCTAGTGATCCTTTGCTTCCTTTGCTTCGGAGTCTTAGTGATCATGTGTTTGTCGCCCGCTCACCTGCAAACAGGAGCCTTCGCGTAAGCATTTCCCTTGGGAGTATGCTTCTCATCTGTGAAAATGCAGATGCGTAAGATCTGCGTAGTAAGGTCTTCTTCAACATCCGTGGCGCGTAAGCTCACATTGTGGTCGCGTAAGAAAGGCGTAAGCAGGAGCGTAAGAACGTTATGTGACATAGGGGTTTAATCATACGTATTTTGCAGAGCTCGAGTGACCCCATCACTCATGTCCCCTAAGAGCTATGGCCAGAAGCATCCAGAAGCTACTAGGTTGGAGGCCATCACTAGTAGGTTGGATTCTTTTCATTTTTGGCTGTGTGAACTAGAGGGGTCTTGTGGCTACGGTGAAGAAACATGAAGAAACCAGTGAAACTGCTTGACGTACATGGGAAGGCCTGGAACTTAATGAAGGGACGTCCGCCCAAAATGGTGTCACTGGAACCTAGATTCGTCAGGGTGGCGGATGCAAGGTGGGTTGGATTTGAATCAACCTTCACGACGTCATGTGAGAAATGAAAGACCACCAACTATGAACACCACTGGTTCTCGGTTCTTGTCATCTCCCAGGTGAACATGAAAGTTCCTTCCTGCCTCCACCAAGCAATTCCGCCTAAAACAGCCTCAGGGCTCCCATTCCTTCACATGACAGGATGCCCAAAACACATCAAAACAATCATATCATACACTTTTCTTCGTAAAGCTAAGCTGGTCCAGCCATGTTACGTCACTCCATGTTTGCTTTGTTCTTGAACCACCTCCACCAGGGCGCCGACTGCACAGCTCTCTGTGATGTCCTGGCCCTTCGGACTGATCGCTCGGTCCTGGTGGGGCCTGGGCGGGAAAAAGCTCCGTTCGTAGCGTCCTTGTTCCGTTCGTAAGGCCAGAAGCCCGGTTCGTAGCGTCCGTTCGTAGCGTCCGATCGCTCCGTAGCGATGCCGCGATGCCGCGATGCCCTTGGCTCCGTTCGTAGCGTCCTCTCTCCCCGGTTCCCAGCGGGCCATGTTTTGCTTATGTTTGATTCTTCTTCATTCCCGGTGCCTGAAGCAAGGATTTCCATGGTTGGATTGAAGGTCGACCGCGCTCCAGATCCACCGATCGATTGGGGTGGATATGTATTTGTCCACTGAATTCGGTGGTGTTGGGGTCCAAAAAGTACGTAGATCTCCTGGGGCATGACCCTGGCAGATCTCCCAAGAGGAGGTGGAAAATGGCATTGGAAGAACCAGTCCACTCTGGATAGAGATAAAGGGATTCGGATACAGTAGGAAAACATGCGCATGGAAAACAACTTGGATGTTGCCTCATGTTGTGAGACATGATGCCCCTTTGAAGCTCTTGGCCCATCGTTGTCAGTACCAGTGGTGCAGAGATGGTCAAGACGGATCAAGACGGTGCTTGTGAAACTGAGCAGTCTAGAGTGGACTTTGTGCACGGTCCTTCTTTGGATCGAATCAATGATCCTGAATGATCTTGGATTTTAGATGAATGTAGTATGATGATACACAATTATATAATTATATGTAGTATATGTTTTGATTTGCGAGCAGAAAGGGGAAAGGAGCTTAACTCAGGGCTCCAGGCTCCGGAAAGACGTTTTTCTTCGTCGGCTCAGGCTCGAAAGGTGAAATCTGAGACCTGACCTCAGCGTGTCGCGCGGGCGGGTGCTGGGCGGGCGGGTGAAAGCCCGCCCAAAACAGAGGCCGTTCGGGTTCAGGGTCTGTTTTCAGATGTTTGGATACCTTTTTGACTGCTTGGAGGTTTTGACCATGAAAGCTCTTTAACACTTTTGTGGTACTGCTCCAGCTGGTAATCTTGTTGATTTTTTTTCAAGTGACCACGGGAAAACTGCCAGGATGCATCACTTTCCTTTGTCGCTGTCACTCCTCCCTTTGTGCAAGATACCAACCCGCCCATATCACTATCCTCAGCGGCTTGGGCTTAGTTCCCCCAAACGCTTGGGCTCGGTCAACCAGTTGTCGTACGTTGTGCTGTTGGTTTTCTCCTTGCACATCATGAGGGGTCCATCATTAACACAGAGGAACCAGCATGCGGACCAGCGTGCGAAAACTCATGCGGAAACATGATGGACAGACAATCCTTTGGCACCATTCCGTTGGTTTTCCGATACCCCCAATGCATCCTGGATGCAGATTGAGGAGGGTAACAACTTTCTGAAACTCCAAGCAACAAGAAACAATAAGAAACATGTTCTTTCTTTCTCTCACCCTCAGCCTGTTCTCATTTTGTCATTTGAGCCGAGAGACATGGGACTCCCAAGCCCCCATTTTGTGAGCTTTCGGCATTGTGAAGAAACAACCTTCAGACTGGAAGAGCAGAACTCTCCCGGTCCCGGCCGTGGGACTAACTCTGGTGCGGCGGTGTCGATCCGGCGGAGACGATCCAAGGATCGCAACCTTCAGCGCCATGGATGTGGGGGGTCGCCCGGTCTCAAGGGTTTCGCCCTCCTGTCACCGGCCCAAACGGGATGGGACCGGGGGTGGTGTTGTTCCTTCCAAGTTGAGCCGGGCATGTTTTTGTGTTTCTTTCTGCGAGTCCAAGGTTGTTGGATCGGATTTTGAAGAAGATGATGATAGAGGACTAAGTTTAAGACTAATTCCAGTAACGGTCCAAAAGTATCCAAGTTCAATTATTATTGAGGTTGTTCTGTTTGAGATATTTTGATCCTGAAATTGATTTAGTCCTCAACACGTCCCATAGAAAGATGGAAGACGATAGATTTTTACTGGTCTGTTGATGGTGAGTTGACCAGCTGACGTCCAACCCAACTTCATCCAACATCCAACGTCCAGCAGACCAGCTGATCTCATCCCTTCCAGGAAATAGATCGGTATCACCTGCAAAACATGCGCGGTCTGGGGATTGGGGGAAACCCCAGTCGCATCCAACAGGTGGAAAAGGGGACCAGAAAAGAAACCCATACAGAACAACTGTGGGAGTCCGAAACTGTGCTCGGTAGCCCGTCGTATGTGGGCCAGTATGTAGGCCCTCCAGTGGCTCGTGCGATTCAAGAGGCGAGTGTGTTTTCATTAAAGAGAGGGAGACGCCCCCCCCAGTTCGACCCCTTCGGTGTAAGGAAATAAGACCCCTCGACCCATTGGGCCTGGGTGGTCGCCTAAGCTTTGCTATTCGTTCTCATGGAGGCCACCCTCCGGTCGCACGATCAGGTGGCTTTGCTGGCGCAGGCTCTGGCCGAGCCATGAGCCCAGTCGAGTGGGACATTTTTGGACCTCATGTCATGCAGGTCAGTCCTATATCACTTTTGGTGCCGGAGCGCTTGCGTGTTTCTCAAATGAGTGTTTTTTTTACATTGGAAATGTGTCAGTTGACTGATCCGACTGATGACTTGCATGGTCTAAGCGACACCCTATGATGCGATGAGTAAGTCAGATGGAGATGATATTTGCTAGCAGAAACTGAAAAAGAATGAACAATAAGCAAAATAACATGTACTAAACGGAATATAGTGTTGTTTCTTGCGTAAGCAATGCTCACAAAGGGTTGTTGCGAATGACCTGTCAGCAGCTCACAGAGGGAATAATTAGCACGCAAAGCGGGGAAACCATCGCGCCAAACTGCAAACTGTAAGAAGTACCACTGAACCACAGGCGGTGCTTTTCTTTGCGTGGCCAAAGATAGAGATCGTTTAAAACATCGTCCAGGTTCCACCTTTTGAACATGTTGAGCAACGTGTGTTTCATTCGGTTATATACGCAATGTTTCACAAATCATGAAGTGCTCCAACTCACATCCATTTGCCTTGCGAAGCTCTTCAATGCATACAGCCTGCACTACAGCCTCCTTGCGCCGCCAAAACTTGTGGACCCGTTTGGGATCATTTGTTCAAACGTTGGAGAGAAAGCCCCTGTGGTTTTGGAGGCTTCAACTGGTACCGTGCCATCGAATGGCTCGAGCAGCGAATGAACCAGGAAACATTTCGGAAACACCTGTATATAGCGGAGAGGATGCCTGTGCCATCCGACCTGTAGCTTGTGGTCACTATAGATGCCACTACGACTCCCAATGTTGAAGACATTCACAATGTCGGTGTGTAGTGAAACAGGAAGATCCAGGAAGACCCCCCAAAGATCTCCTCTGGAAGAAGGGAAATAGACCAAAACCCCCTGGTTGGGGGTTCTCCCAAATTAGAATACACACCCATGTGTTGAATGTTGAAGCTGGCACCATCTGGCACCATCTATCCAATGATCAATGGTTTAACTTGCAACCGCATGGGACCATGCATGGTGCCATTCACCATCAGCCCAATATCATCCACATCGTGCCAAGGCTGCGGCAAAAACACACCGTGCTTTTGGACACCTTAGCGACCCACGTTTGGGGCCCAGATCACTTGGGCGCGTTGATGGTCGAAGAAACACAGGTGGTTTGCAGCATCAGTCAGATGCATTGTCCAATCACATCGACTTCCAGTTCCGGACCGTGTGTTGAAATGGTTGAAAGGGTCCGGACCGTCTCCTCACGTTTGCGGCCTGCGGATTTCATGTCTATGGGCTGCCACGTGGCAGGTCCTCCGTGGCATGGCGGTCTATGACGCACCGAAGTTGAGCAGGGCGACCCCGGACAGAGGAGGAGAAGGAAAGGATGGGTTTTCCGGTGGGAAAACACACCCATCGCACTTGCAGTTTGGGGGGATGTTTGGTGATGTTTTGGTGAATGTCGGGGAATCAGACATCCGCCAGATGCGAGTCGGTGTTCTTCCGCCAGCAAGAAACCCATAGCATGGTCGCCAGGGCACTGATGGCAAGACTCGATCTGCCGCTGCAGTCGGAATTCCCGCCATTTGCAGTAGTTGACGTCCCTTGTTGGCGTTGTGTTTCTCAGATTGTGTAGCCTGGACATGTCCGCTTTCCAAAGGATCGGATGGCAATGACTGGGACTTCGGGGCATCTCCATGGACAGGACTCGGTTTGTTGCCTGGTAGCAGGCATTTGGCGGCTCTCCAATGAAGACACAGTTTGGTTGCAAAGACAACAGATGTCAATGACAATCGTCTATTAGGACTTGGTGGTGTTTAGGCCAAGAGTTTGGTGATCAAATCTTGTTTAGAACCCCCCAACATCCTCCATTATTTGTATTGAACCCTTATTGAACCCCTATTGGCCCTATTGAACTCCTTTATTTATTTTTGTTTCTATTCAAGACATCCTCCACGGCCAAGTCCTTGAGGCCTCATTGCCAACTCCTTTGCACGGATGGGCTACCTCCAGCGGCCGATGATGGATGCCGGAATCCGAGCAGGGAAGAAGGGGGAAATACCATCCATATCACCCGGTCGAATCAAAGGATGGTATGATGGTATGAAACACCACGGCTGTTCTTCTTTTCCCTTGCTTTTCCTAAAAACAAAAGAACACTGTTTTGAATTGTTTTGACACTGACCCTTGTTTCTGTTGTCCAGTCCCAAAAAAGGGATTGGGTCAGCTTCCCACAACGTGGAGCCTGACTCGCCGGTGGCTGAGGCCATTGCCAATCACCTCTCCCAACGGTCCAATGAGCTCTCAGCTCTCGACATCACCGTGTGGCACGGCAAGGAGTTACGAAGTAGATCAGCTCGAGGGTGCTCGTCAGGAGTTTTCCTTTTTTTTCAGAGGATGCAAGGCTTGGTGCAGGTCTTTGACGGTATGTGGCCTGTTTGTTGAACTTCAGGGTTTCAGGTCACCCTCACTCGACTTGGAGATACTCAGAGCCTCCTTGAGAATTCTGGCGGGTGAGGTCAGGTATGGTATGGTAAGGTCTACACTCACCCAGACTTGGAGCCTCGTTTTTAAGATCTGGGAAGTCGTTGTTCAGTCGGCGCAACATTGGATCAGTTTCAAAACCCCGACGTGGCAGGGGTGTACTCTGACTCGTCTAGACAGGGACGTCACGGAAGATGTTCCAAGCAAGTGTGTTTTGTTGCAGATCGGCGATGGTTAGTTTCCCTATATATGGGTAAATCCCCGAACCTGACGAATGTTATTTATTTCTTGACATGTTCCTTAAGCAAATGCAAGCCAAGTGTTTGCGGCTTCAGACCTTCTATTTGTCTCAAGGAGCGGTTAATGGACACCCCTTGACCCCTGTTCGGGGCTATTCATGGACACCCGGAATCCGTGGTGCTGGCAATGGGCAGATTGCTTATTTCGGACATTTGCCACAAGAAGACTAAGACACACTTATGGGAAATGTCGACACAAACCCCTGTGAACTGTGAACTGTTGTGGTGTGCTAAGAGATCGACCCTCCCCCAATGTGAAGATCCACTCCGATGGCCTGCTGACCCGCGTCGCATCTAGGCTGGTCTATGTCAGCACCTCAGAGTGAAGCGTGGTGCACATGGATGGCCGGAAGACAAGGATGTTTTCGGGTCATGGCTTGAAATGAGCCAAGTCAGGGGCCGCAGCTTTCGATGAAAACCGTTTGGTGAAGTTCGGACGAAAAACCGATTGTACGACCCTGCGGTGGTGGAACGAAATCGTCGGTAACGAGGGCCCTTGGGAACGACCCACTTGGGACCAACCGCCACCAACAGCCTCCTCCCCTGGGACCTTTGGGGGTCTTCAGATCCCCCCCTGCGGACAAGGTGGACGTTCAACATCGTTTCAACCGTTTTCGGCGAGCTCTCGAGCCGTCGCCCCCGGCCGTGAAGCGCAGAAGCGAAACCGTGTGCTGTTTGAGGCCTATGGCGAGTTGCTCTATCATCCTCAAAGCAACCTGCTCGAGGCGCAGCCCTGCATGCCCGAGCTGAGCCAGAATTTGGTTGGTTGCTCAACAGTCCAAGCCAACCAGATTTCACCATCCATCCTAGCAAGAGGTACAACAATCAAGAGCCTGCATTTGGGCAGACATCTTTTGATGCGGACCCTGTTTGGCACCAATCACCAATGTCTTCATTTTGATATACAGTACATGTGCTACTACCACCAAGATTTGCACCATGCCCAAAGCTGCATTGCAACCCCTATGCTCTCCTTCACACTGAAACTTATTTGTCCTCCGCTTGAACGGCATCCACTATACGGCCTACAGTAGGCCTAGTCCGATTCAACATGTTTATACAGATACATGTTTCAATATTTGACTACTTCTATGACCACAGTCCTGCCGTCAATATGAACCAACACCCTTTGTGGTGTCTGATGAGCGTGCAGTCAAGCACCTTAGCTCGGTCTTAGCTCCACCTTAGGATTCATCCCCATGGCCGGCTCGGTTCAACCACATTTTGAACCACTCAAAAGGGTCATGGTCACTTACTATGTACGGTCTGGTGTAAAGATAAGCCCTATGTGACTATGTGATAGATAAATGGCCACCACAGGGTTATGGTCTGGTGTTATGGTCTAGATGTGTCTCCCTTACGGTAAGCCCTATGTGCTGACTCGACCAGGTTGCGTCACTTATGACCCACCGATGAGCCACGGTCGATCTTCCAGGTGTGTGCGGAGCGACTCAAAGAATGCTACTTGGAGGCCAGGATCCCAGACACCAACTGTCTGGGACTGGCAGCTGCGGAAGTGCCTCAGGGTAACCCCTAAATCAACAACAGCGCTAAACCAGCACAGGTGGTAGCCCCCTTGAGTTGTTTGATGTTTTTTTGCCTGAGGCTCCGACTACCTCCTGAAAAGGTACCTACCTAGCACAATGTAGGTGGATCCCTTTGCTCCTTCTTTCCATCCCCACAATGCGCCGACATCAGGCCGATTCATCATGCTACCAGCCACCATTCTTCTCACACGCTGTGCTCTCGCTGGAGCCGCTCTTGCCGTCATGCGGCATACGAGGGTAAAACACTCCTTTTCGTGGTCGAACGAAGCTGTGGCCAGGTGGGAGCATCCAACATCTCAAACATTCTCAACTCCTACTCTCGGCTTTCGGTGCGGGGCTGACTGTTTTCCAGCAAGTGCATTGAGAGGAACCCGTGATTTTTGTTCTTTTTGATGTACACTGTGTCCATCTGTGTCCTTAAATGAGTCTTGCCCCTCAAAAGACTAATGAAAAGGGTAGGGACTGACACTGACCCCAAAATGTGTCACAGCATGTCACAGCATAGCAGTGTCGAAGGAATATAAAACAATATAAAACATATCAGATTTGTTGCAAGATTGCTGGCTGTCCACAGGTTGTATCAAAGGCCCTTTCAGATCAAAAAGTGTAATATGCATCATATTTGGCCGAACTGTGGTGAAAGGAGAGTAAACACTGACTGATCTTACCCACATTTGGTAGATCCCACTCCACCATGATCACGTCAATCAGATGGATTTGACCCTGAGGAGTGCAATCCCGCTGTATTCCATTGCCTGTCAAGGCGAGGCTTGCCGCGACGGGCGCACGGCCGACGGCTGCGCTCGACGTGCTCAGCCAGGGCAGTGGCGCATACAAGGCCCGAGACGTTTGAGGCCAAAGATATCAGCGTGGAGGCCGAGGGAGATCCGGCGTAAAAGTATGCGATATTACAGTAAGTGTCAAATATTGGCAAACGTAAATATTACATAAATATTAAGTCATGTCTATATTATATAGTTACTTATATGTATAATGTGTCAAGGCTGGTGTGCCCTGGTGTCGGGTGTGGGTGGGCAACAGCCCTGTGCTGACACCTGGCGCCAGTCTTGGGACGCCCAGTCCGTCGCACCGGTCCGGACTCGCTGCCGGGACGTGCAGAACGCAGAGCGCAGAATGCTGGCGTGGGTGAAACATCAAGCGACCGGTTCTCGATAGGTTTCACCCAGGTTTCAGCTACGGTTCACCCACATTGCTCAGCTTGATGTTGTATCAGCGACCGGAGCTCCATCGCTTGGAGGAGCGATTACAGCTTGGTCGCTTTTGGCCCCAGCTGCCCGAACTGGCAAAGTTTGGTGTTGTATAAACCAACCTTAAACCGAAACTCATGGATGTTGTTCAGATTTATCAATGATTCAATTATAGGACATTGCCTCCAAATGTTCAGGCTTTTTGCTGGGGTATCAAGAGCTTCGGGCGAAGGATGGTGGCTTTGTACTGGTGGCTTACCGCCCAGGTCTCATTATGAACTCCTATGCCAAGTGCATGGCTGGGAGCCCCCAGATCCACAGTCGATGGTCGAGACACCATGATCGGGTGTGTCTTGAAATAGGCAGATGGACACCAAGCAACCCCGACCCCTTGGAAGAAGGGAATAGAAAACCAGTCTACCCAGCCAGCGGGCTCTCTCTATTACACACACCCATTTGACACCAAAAGCTGGACCGTCCAGGCGTCCAGCTCGTCCGAGCCCACACGAATCTCGCCCCTTTTCCTAGGTCGAAATCCAGCTACTGTAGACCCCGAACCGAACCCCAAACAAGTCGTTGCCATGTCTAGGTGTCGGTCCTCCCTGGTGGGAGCTACACATCCACCTGGGATGACCACCATGAATCCTCCACTTGGCCAGTCTCCACCCCCCCAAGCACCCAAAAGCATCAGTTCCCTGTCAGGTGGAAGGGTCTGACTGGTCTTCGTGATCAGGTCCTTGTCTTGCATGAAAACAATGGAAAAATATAAAACTGCAGCGCGCCGGAGGTGGAGCTCTTTTTCCAAGCTGCTCAAGAAACCGAGAACATCTAGGAAATCTGCAGGCCCATTCGATGCCCCAAAATCTCAACCTCGCAGGCGCATTCGATGTATCTCTCTCATGAACTGCGCAGTTCACTCGCAGCCACGACACTGTGATCATGACGCTGCGATGCTGCGCTGCGTATGCGCTTTCCACGGTCGGGGGCGGAGCCAATGGTCGGGGGTGTGATGGACATTGGTTTGCTTTATCCAGCAGATGGACTGGTCGCAAAGGTGATGGTTTACTGGATTCCCTGAGGGTTTTACTGGAGTGTAACGAAGCCTTGAGGTTCATGACCGGAGCAGCATGTTGCAACAGCTAGGTACAGTGGAAACTCCTGTGACCTTGCGAAGTACTTTCATAGTCTAAGTCTATCATGCCCACTTGTACCCTCAAAAGGCCCAGGTTTCTGAAATGGGCCGAATGGATCAATATATAATATATTGGTGAACGGATCAATAGGTAAACACCCATGGCGACCTGATATTGAGACGCCCACACGCCCATGTAGAATCGAACTCCCGCTCTCCCCCAGTTCCTGCCCATAGCGGTTGAACAGAGGGAGGTCCAGTGTGAGGTCCTGTGTTGCCTCGGCACATCAGTGCATAGTATAGTGACCGAAGCAAGTTGGGTAGTCCAAACATGTCCAAACATGTCCGAAGCAAGCTGTTTTGAATTGAACCCCCCCACGGACATACGAGCACTAGTGCCCAACTCAGGGAAGAAGAAGATGACAGCTACAGCACCAGGTCGCCATCGTTGCAGTGCAACAGGTATTGCAGGCGTTTGCAGCTGTTCTTTTTTTCGCAGGGTGTGAGCTGTGGCAGGTCGTTTGGATGTCGCAGCCGACCACTGCACTGGAGGCGGGCCCGATGGAGTTGGATTAAAGCTATAGATCTTTGGCTGGAGTTTGAGGAGGAAAAAGACACAACATAGATCTTTAGCCAGCATTTGGTTGGAGTTTGAGGAGGAAAAAGACACAACATAGATCTTTAGCCAGCATTGATCATTGATGTCTATTAAGAAAAACATACAAACACATAACTTTCTTGGTACCCCTCCAGCCCGCTGGTGTCAACAACAGAATTCTACAATGTCGCTGAATCAAAAAAGCAAGCAACCAAATTCCAACCGACAAGGAAGTGCTGCAAGTGTACTGCAAGTCTCCAAGGGTATTTTTCTCTGCCCACACTCATTCCGCGCCCCGTGATCAACGAGAATCTTGCGACTGATTTGTTTGAGAAAGGGATTTTGAGAAAGGCATCGCTGTGACAATGGGTGAGGAGGGACTTGTTCCATGCGATAAGAATTCAGGACAAGCCATTGCCCCGTTCAATAACTCCACGCACAGATTCACCACCAAAGGACATAATGCGCACCAGCAACCTCCAACACTGGTAACCGGAGGTTGGTGGTTTGGTTGGAAATACTATGAAATACAGTAGTCCGTTCAATTCCGACCCATCGGGAGGCTTCAAAGGACCCCTATTTAAAAAAGTCATGTCAGAAACCCCTAAATACATCTAAATACATCTAAATACGGTTTATAGTTATTTTTAACATTACCGCCCTAAAAAACCGCTACTAAACTACTCGTACCAACATTGCTGAATGTTGTGGAGTTTTTGTTCATTCGGTTCCAAAAATAACACTAATTGCCCACCTCTGTCCACCCTGTTTGTCCACCATGACACGCTGCGTTTACACCAGCAGGTTTTCCTTCCCCCCAATGGCCCGGACTCACCCTTCGATCTGGATGTTTAAAAAGATATACGAGTTTAATAGTTTAATAAAGGATCTTATACAAAATTTGCCTGGGTGACTTTTTGGTTAATCAATGGTTGAAGGATCCTCCCACTGACCCTATTTTGGACAACCCCGATTTCAGGGACCCCCTATTTAAAACAATGCACCCGATTTTTTGTTAATAGGGGGACCGTGTTTTTTAATAGGTGGAGGTGATTGTATACGTCAAATAGATATAAATATGCACCGTGATACACCAAAAGAAGCATGTTCAGGGGCTGATAGCACCCAACAGCTCAGGTTTCCTGACCTCCAAAAGCCACCGCAAAAAGACGGGGCATGTTTGAATCCACCGCTCGCTGCCGCCTTTCAGGATCCCGGTCCTTTCGAAGATCCCAGTTCGGTACCCCCCGCTCGTTCCGGGTCCCAAAAAACCTCCACGGGAGCGGAGGAGGTCCACCTGGTCGAAGCGGTATGCCGGTCGTGACCGGATGCCACGCGACAGGAGATCTTCTTTCTCAACAGCACCCGCGGCGCCGACCTCTTGAGGTGCACGGGCTCGGTGCGCGTCAACCGGGTGGCGGTGGAAACTCGAAACCGGGTCAAGCGGTCACAAGGTGTTTGGGTTTAACTTGGTTTTAACGCTAAAGTGCGGGGTCGGTTTTCTATCACGTGAATCACATGTGATTGATTCACTGTTCATTTTTTCTGAGACGTTCCTCAGATATTCAGATGTCCTCAGCACATCAACACGTTGTCACCAACCAGCTGCAATCTATTCAGCCAAGATGTTTTATCCGGATGAATGTGCGCTGTTGTTGTTGTTGTTGTTGTTGTTGTTGTTGTTGTTGTTGTTGTTGTTGTTGTTGTTGTTGTTGTTGTTGTTGTTGTTGTTGAAATGTTAATGTTTTGTTTCCTTTTGTTTGCTTTTTTTGTGGCTGCCCTGAAGGTTTGCAACTCATTCTGCGTGTGGATCTCAGATGACGTTGTTGACTGCAACTGTGGTGTAGTGGGTTTGCTCATTGGACATTCAGGGCTTCTTTGGAGGGCAGGAGGTTTTCCTTCCGCAGGATCTTTGATTCTGTGGTCCATCATCGCTTCGCAGATCCTGTTCTTGGTCCTGATGACCATGAACATGTTTAATAAAAAACAACTTTTGTGCTCCATGATGCGGAGCTGGTCCGTGGTCGCCTCCCATTTCAGGCCCTTCTGGCAGTTGTCGCCGCACTTCCTCACGGAGCTTCCGGGCATGTGTGGCCCCACGACCGTGCCATGCCCCGAATGGCTTCGGACGCCGGTTCCATGGTGCGGGGAAACCCGAGGTCGAAGCCAGGTCACCATGGTGTATTTGTTAAACCGATCTGTGTGCTGTGGTATGTATGTGTGTGTGTGAAATGCTTGGCTGGAGTTCAGAAAGTTGAAGACGTTTGGAACGTTTCCAAATGGTTATTTACTATCTAGTTTTGCTTAGGAGGGAGCTAAGGAGCCGGGGGTCTCCATTTTCCCTATTAAGCAGGGAGCCGAGGAGTTACCAACGTCTCAACCAGCACTCTCAAGCAATTGTTTTGAAATGTGTTGATGCAACCAGCAACTACCTGCAAGGTGTATCACTGTTTGTTGCTTGCCAGCTACCCGCATTCCCGCGGTGTCCTGGGCCTTTCCCGCGGTGCACCGCTGAGGCGATCATGGTCCTCAATGCACTGCATGGAGAAGGCCTTCCAGCGGCTGTGCGGTGGCCCGGACTGCGACATCGATGGCGGACTGCGACAGGAGAAACCTTCCAGTCTGACATGGGTCAATTCTTGTAGTTGTTTCTAAGCACAACAAAGATTGAGTTGCTTCTTGAGTAAAGCAAAGCTAACATAGCATCCACTGGACTGGGTTTTGACTCATTGCCTTGTTGGAATCCCAGTACGACAGCACAGAGCCCCGGCTGTTGAGCTGTGAGGTGTCTCCCACATTTTCCTGGAGCTTCGAGGCGGAAGTCGAGTCCACGATGTGTTGGTGCCGTTGGAATTCCAGTAACTGGGAACGGACATTTTGGGACACAGGCACGTACAGTCGGTGATCATAATGTGAGTCCATAACGAGTGGTTTCACATTGCAGTGCCGAAGCAAAAGAAACGCTGGACCCATGATGAGTTTGCCTCCTTTGTTCCAGAAGGCTAGAGTCTACAAGACTGGTTGCAAGGGTTGCAGCAACTTGCCTCCATCCATATTCGTTTAGATCCGCCAGTGAGTGGGTGTTGTGGCCAATTAGCTTCCCAGCTGGGAGGATGTTTTGAACGGCGATGCAACAAATCCATTTCTTTAGTTTGGGGCGGGGTCTACAGTTGTCTACAGGGTGGGTGGTGCTTTAGGATCCACAAGCCACAAGCATCCACAAGCATACAACTTGGTTATTGTTGTATTTATAATGTTAATGTCTACTGTTTCGACTGTTCTCACATCAGCTGTAGGCAAGTCCGGTGTGAGTCAGGAGCGTTGAATCGAGGGATAAACAGCCGCATCCAAACATGTTGGGTCGAAACACTTCGTTGTAGTAGGTTGAAGGGGGGATGGAGAACCCAATTCTCTCATGTGGGCCTTTTTGCAATCAACGTTCATGTTTCTTCCGATACATGCTTATGTTTAAATTGAATTCTACATCACTGACATGTGGACTGCATTTCAAGCTTCAAACGTTGTTCTTTTTCTACCCTCAGGTGCCGAAGAGGGTCGAACAGCGCCA